CGGTAACCTGGTTGCCGAGTTCACGAAGTGAATTGGCTTGTTTTACAACGTCGTTGCCAAGCGACGAAAACCCAATCCCGATGGCAAACACCGAGGGTGGGGGCGGCTTGTTTTACAACGTCTTTGCCAAGCGACGAAAACCCGACCCCGACGGCAAACACCGGGGGGGGGGGACTCGTGTTTGCAGGTGGGGCTGCAATGTTGCCAAGCACGCGAAAGGAGGGAGCGGCCTCATGCCGCAAACAATATACAATACTAGCGCGAAGGACGAGAGAAGCGTATCAATGATCTTAGGCCATCGTTTCGATGATGTTAGACCACTCCATGACAGATAATAGATCCACTTTGCTGTAGACTTTGTAAGAGTGCAAAAACCTTCAGAGTGGCCTCACGAAAGAACATTTTTTTTGTCTTCACTTCAAATCAGCGCTCACAGCACCAGTACCGTTTACTCAAACCCGTGGTCACACAGAAGAACCCCTCTCTACCCTCCCCTCCTGCGGTACCTTGCCTTCGATTTTTAGTGCGAGAAGAGGTCAGCACTCTCTTCCCTATGTACTGACAAAATAGCGCTATCCACTAGTCCAGGAGCGGAAGCGAGAGAAAAACTCACTTTGCAAGAAAAGCTCGCTTACGCCGAGTTTCGAGCCCCTCACCTGATCCCTAGAAGGTTTCGAGGATACCAACTAGACCACCGGCTATCTAAGGGGTGAAGCAAGATGAAAACAAAGGTAGGAACAACACGACCAGCCCGCAGTTGGCTGCCAGCTGCCAGAGGTGGTGCCGTTTCCCGATCTCGAACAACTCACCACAGCTGACGTTATTTACTCGCGCAGAACCCAGCGAGCATCAACGAACCAAAAAACACGTTTCCAAATCTGCAGACAGTCTCGAGGAGGACGGCCGCATTCGTTCTGTCGGCAGGCACATGGCTGGCTGAAAACAACACACGCAAGAGAGCAAGCAATCACACTCGGACCCGCGTGTCCACATTCTGAAGGAGGAAGACGAGGTATACATGGTGTTTCTGTTGCGACAACGGTGGCACACGACGGCTACGCGATTTTGGGGACAAGTACTGGGGTTCAGGAAAACTTTGTTGGTCCCGAGTACATGAGTGCACCGTACCCGCCTTAACCTCATGAACAATTTCCATCATCTTTCCACAAAAACAATGCGTCCCAGGCCGACAACCATCGTCTCGACAATGCCTTTGAGTAGTGTAGTCTTGTCACGAGTCTATTGTGTGCCCAAATATCTCTCCGGTCGACTTTCACCACGAAACTCACAAAATCAAGAGCTCAGCTGGGCCAGGTCTGCAGAGTGAGAGAAAGTCTCTTCACGAGGTTTTGCTGGGACGATACGTAGATGCTCCATGCACACGTTCGGGATACAGAAAAAAAAACTCACGTACAGTACCACATCGATACTTGACACACTGCAACACGCCTTACAAAATCGAATCAAACAAAAGTTCTTCGATCATATTCAAGACAACTAAGGGACGGCCCAAACGGCGGTATTTATTTGCGTTTTTCATACACGAGACGCGCACACATGGACTGTATAGTCAAGCGGCACGCGTGTGGTCTACAACGCCGTGACAAGAACGCGTCCCACGTTTCGGACAAGGGTTGCATCACCCAGCTTCGTCGGCAGGTGGTCGGGGACATTCCCCCGCGTGCGGAAGCAAAGCCCCTCTCTCTCTATGCACACCCCTCTCCCTCGACGTTACGATCATCTACGACAAGGCCTCTCCGGTACTCGACCCCCTCTCCTCCTTTTGCCAAGCGCGAAGCGCCACGAAAACGAGAAATCTGATATGCGCTTTGCTCCGCGAAAACTTGAAAGCCTTCTTTCTTCTGAGTTGTGTTATTTTGCATTCCTCGGCTTTCGAACCGCGCCCGACTGAACGAAATCCTCGGGACTTCCGCGTAAGGTATCAAAACTTGTCTACAATGACGGCTGACTCAACGACATCCCTCCGAAGCCCAAATACTCGCCTCCAAAAGGCTGGCGAGACCTATGCTGCTGCACCGCCGACTACCGGAAGAGTCGGAGAGATGGCACCCACGTGTTGGCGTTTTTCCATAGCGTTTTCCTCGACAACTAGGAGGGTGCGAACACCAAACCAAAACGATACCTGGTTGTGGATATATACCCACATAACAACGCTACTTTACACGGGGGGGGGCGACTCTCCGACTCACACGGCACTGCGCGCACTGCGCGGCAGCTCGAAGGAGAGACGCGCGGAGGAACCTCCATCGAAGCGCTAACCGACCTTCCTAAAATGAAATCAACCAGGAACAGAAAACACCAACAAGCGAAAACATCACACCCATAAACATAACAGTATTAAAGTATCCCTTGCCGACGTCCCCAGAACTTTCGGCGGCATGCGGCGGCATGCGTGCGGAACACCTCGGCAACACCAAGCCTACCCGTATCCCCCCATGACGGCCTTACACTTCAACTCGGTCGTTTCAAAGTTCAAAGACCAACAAACACACAACAAGGCCCACAGATCCCCCACCCTACCCCCCGCCGCTTTCGCTCCTCCTACTTTCACTTTCGTGCGCGGCCGATTCGCTGATCCTCATCGTCGTGGACGGAAGGGTCATCCATCACCCAATCCTCGTCTGTCCCATACGTGGCCCGGCCATCATCCCTCGCCCACTCCGCTCCCTCCTCCGCTTGTTTTTCTCCCCTCTCTCCTTGTGATCCTCGTCGTAAGCCTCGTCTCGGAGTTGGGAGCGCACGTCCATGAGCGCTTCTCCGAGTTTGTTCCTCCCAGGCCACCTTAACAGCAGCAGCAGTGGAAGCAGCAGCAGCAGTAGTGGAGGCAGCAGCAGTGGAGGCAGCAGCAGCAGTGAGAATATAGCGCAGAAGCCTATCGTCCGCGCGTGGTATCGAAGGCAGGCGAAAACCCAAAAGCGCAAACCAATCATGACGTGCATTGCACACTGCTGGCTGTACGTGCGTCTACCCGTGTGAATGAATGAATGAATGTGTTGAAGATGGAAGAGACAGGGACCCCGAGCTGTGGTATGGTACGGAGCAACCTAACGCCGCCGAAAGATCCATGCCCCGTGCGACAGGGCCGAGTGAAACAAGGACAGATGATAACGAAACGAGAATCGACGACGGCACGGGGGGCTAGGCGCTGCGCGCCGGCTGGACACCCCCCAAGGTGCCTTCAGCGCCTTAGCCCCACGCATGAGATGCTTTGGAAAGCACGTCTCAAGCGTTTGCGTGCGTCGTTTGCACGTGGGGAACAGGTTTTGTCAGGGCATGGAAAGCGCAACCCATCTTGTATGTACACACATATCTCCAGTCTACGAAAAAATAAATCGAGAGAGAAAAAAAAGGCACCAAGACAAAATGCCACAACAGCAACAGCAACAACAACAACAACAACAACAACAACAACAACAACAACAACAACAACAACAACAACAACAACAACAACAACAACAACAACAACAACCAAAGTAAAAGACCTTGCTTGGATGAGGGCGTCCGCATCATTTGCCTTCAGTCCGATGCCCCACTCGCTGTCGTAAGGGCTGGCCTCCGCCAGAATCTGTGGTGAGCCGCCCGAGGTTAAGCAAAGGGCGGGGGGGGGGCGCCATTCGTCCGGCCGCAGACAATCCCGTGAAGGGGACAAAACAAATTATTTTTTATCCGCGACAGAGACAGTCTTGGATGGCGAACAGAGCCACCAGACCTAGGCAGGAAAGCGTGTGGAGATTATAAATCGATTCGTTCACATCACCCCGCAAACGACACGTGTCCGTGTTCCGCGGCGGAGAGATGGCGAGTGCGCGTCGTGTCGACACTCGCACCCTCGGCAACTAATAAACACACGGAGAGAAGGATAGTGAGAAAGAGAGGTAGATAGAGAGAGGATGAAAGAAAGAGAGAGAGGGAGAGAGGGAGAATAAGAGAAAGAGACACACCGACAGACAGAGATAGACAGACAGGCAGATACAGAGAGACACAGACAGACAGACAGACAGACAGACAGACAGACAGACAGACAGACAGACAGACAGAAAGACAGACACATGAGACACGCACGCCGCGTACATACCCTGTCTCCCGTGGCGAGAAGCTCGTCCCGGAACCCCGGGTTTTGCCTGAACTTCGCCAAGTTCCCCCTGACGACCACGTCATAACCCGTCTTATCCCACACCGCAGGGTCAAAGCCCCTGACCTGACGGCCCAGTGCCTTCTGCCTGCGGGGGTCCGCGGTCGCCATAATCTGCTGCAGTGCGGTCCTGAGTGTCACAGTTTCGAATGCACGCGCGGGGGGGCACTCATGTCAGCGCATGCCGTAGTCATTTATTAGACCATTGACTTCGCACCCGGGACGGAACGACATGCAGGTTTTTCGCCGGCCCATGCGGGGTCGCAAAACGGGATGGTGCGAAACAACAGCTAATTCAGGTTATACGTACGTATTGACTTTTATTGGCGAGTCTGAGGACGAACGGCCGTCCCCATGCGACCCCCCTTGCCCCAGCGTCGAAGGGACCGGTATGACGGATCCCTACTATTGTATGGATTCTATGCGATGATCGTGGTGGCAGTCAGTCGCCTTTGAATGCACGTCGTGGCAAAATCAAGCTATGGCGGGGGGCGGGGTTAATGTATGGCGGCCTGTGGTGATCGCGTCGTGTAGACGTGCCCGCCCATCTCGCAGTGTCTCGACGCAGTACAAAGAGGCTTGACTAGGCTCAAAGTTAGCTCAGTACCCAGTCGGTTTTTCTCCCTAGTCACTGTGAAGACTCCA